GAACGCACACCTAGCCTACACACACACACATGCACATCGAACTGCAGGATCTTTTGTGAACAAAGTTCAAGCCTAGCACATCCTAGCACAGTCGACTTCGACTCCGACTTGCAGCTAGGTCTCTTGATCAGGGTGGCCTCGTCCAGGGAGAGGTCTGCGTATCGGCTGGACTGGTCCAATGCCTTGAGTGTCACCCGGCCCTCCTGCAAGCAACGCAACACCGCATAGTTGCTAGCTAGCATTATATCAAAACCGTAACTGTGTGACACATGCGGTAACAACGGAGGTCAATCGGAGGTGCTCAGGCCGTAGGATAGCAACGCCCTCCTTGCCTTCGCCGTTGTAGGGAGGATGGTGCTGCGTGTCTGGCGTCCTTTCCAATTCGTGGCTTGGTTAACAGCAAAAGCTACGGGAAGCCTGAAAACCGTAAAACCGCAAGCCTCATAACCCTGAGCCGCAAACCTACGAAGCACCGACGGTTGCGCATGTGACTGCGCTTTTTTGGGGCGAGAGTGCGGGAGGGTTACTGGGCGATGACTTTGCATTGTCGATGTTCCACGACAGCAATCGCAGTCGTGAGACCAACAGACATGTTTAGCTGTTGCGCCAGCGATAAATTAAACAAGCCAGTGTGCTGCTCGTCAGCAACATCATCGTCAGAACAATCACTTGCTTCCTTGATTGCTTGCTTGTTTCATTGCTTGATTGCATGCTTGCTTGATTGCGTGGTTACTTTATTGCTCGTTTGATTGCTTAGTTGATTAGTTGAATCGCTGCTTAGCTGGCTAGCTGACGAGCTACTTAGCTGATAAGTTGATTGGATGAGTAGTTGATTAGTTGATTGGTTGATTAGTTGATTCGTTGATTGCTTGCTTGCTTGATGGATTGATTGAGTGAGTAATTGAGTGATTGAGTGACTGAATGACGACTGATTGAGTGACTGATTGGTTCATTAATTAAATGCATGCTTAACTGACTAGCTGTGACTAGCTATACTATTGCTTAACTTACTATTCTAATTTTTAGTCTCATTGACAAATTAACTGTTGGTCGGTTGGTTGAATGAATCTTTGATTAAATGAATGCTTGATTGACTGATTGCGTGACTGAGAAACCCATCAGCTAGCCCATTAATCAATTAATGATTAATTAATTGGCTAATTAGTGCATCTACTGATGAACCCATGAAACACTGAATACCTGGCATCGACTGAACCGTTAGACTCACCAAATTCCCAAGTTACCCCACAATCACCCACCAAAACTCCAAATATCAATCCGGCTGTGAGCAACGCACCTTCGTTTGTAATATGCCGCTGTGTGTGCATAGGCACATCCATGCAAGCTGTATGAAGGGAAAAAATAGCAGAATTACGTTGAGGAGGTCAGCTTCGAGTTCTGCGTTCCTTAAGTTTCAGGATGCACAGGGTGGTTTAGGTTGAGGGCCAAATTAACACTACCCCAGGAACGACCAAAACCTAACCCTCGAACCAACACTCCAGCACTTTCATAATTTCTATTCAGCTACGAGCCTGCTATCATTGCTTCATTCCCTGGCCGGCCCAAAACCATGCCTTAAACCTTAAACTCCGAACTTTCCTAAATCTTAAACCCTAAACCTTGAAACCCTACACAAAAAGCTCACGCATGCCTGGCCGAACACCTGCAGCCACTGCTGCTGCGGCGACGGCACCACCGGCGGCCTCTTTTGTTTGCGCTTTGGCTTAGCATTTAGGGTTGAAGGTGTGCATTCATACAGTGCGCGGGCGGTGGGTGCGCCTTTTACTTTAAGAATAGGGGCGCGCCCACTTATCGCGCTTGCGTCAGCATGTAGTCCCGCCCCAATCACCCCAACTAATCTCAATTAGAGTTTAGGGTTCACCCCTCAAAGGGGGTTGTCTTGCTTTCTGCTTCCTTTCGCAATTCTGATAAACTGAACATTGCGCAGCAAATCACGGTGTCGGGTTGTGGGTCCTCGCGGCCTGCGTCGGCCGCTCGACGAGAAGCAGAGGTTTCCAACAAACAACTTGTTCTTCGCACCCTATGAGGTTCGCTCGAAGTGCACACCTAGCCTGGCAATGAAACCCCGCCCCAAAAAAACTGTGGCGCCAGTCGCATCCTCGGCTAGGGAAATCCTGCAAGATCCGCCAGCCTGGGAGGTTGGGAAGGCCCCGAAACCTTTTTTTGGCAAAAACCCCAGGTCCCTGCAATCTGCCAGCCTGGGCCCTCCCAAACCCCTTGAAAAGGCAAAATTTGTAGGTGGCATTTTTGCGGAAATTTGGCAAAGTCGCCTCCTACCCTCCGTCTTAGTCGACGCCCCGCCCGCAGACCAGCACGCCGAGGAGGACATCACCTCCCTCGCAAGATGGCCTCGTGGACCCTGGCCACGAAGCCAACCGGGTCCTGCCATCGCCCTCCACAAAAGAGAGACCCAGACGCTGCGAAAGACCATCAGCAGGCGGCACCCAAGAAGTCTCTCTATCCCCAGCAAAGTGCTGACACTGCCAGACAACATGCCTCCAAGAGCCAGGCATTCCTGAAGAGCAAAACGGACATGGACCAATCATGCCAGGGCCATGCCGAATGACGTCGTAAGCAGCTGGGCTCAGAGCAGCCCCACAAAGCACTGCCCACACATGAGCAGAGCCCTCGCAGTAACGAATCCGAGCACGTTTGAGCTGCTGCTCACAGTAGACCGCAGCTTGCCCAAGCAAGGCCTGTGAATCCCTTCTGTCCTGCTCCAGGAACTCATTGAGAAGCGAACGGCGCCATGACTCCCTGATCGCATGAAGGTGCCTGCCCCAAACCCGACGATCATGGAGTGGACTCCATTGCATCAGACCGAACGGTGCATGCCTCCAGTGAAAAGGCCCGCACTCCTGCCGACCCAACGCTTCAGAAGAAGCCGGAGGCGACCCTGCCAAGTGCCAAGCAAAGGCCGCGTGCTCCAGGTGGGAATCCGCCCAGCCACGTGCGCCCGTAAGCAGCACAGGCCGCAATGCCGCCTGAGATGCCCGGCTGACTTCGGTGACCTTCCTTCGAGAAGCCTCTGCAGAGGAGCAGATCCCATGAGCTGCGTACCAGACAGGGCCTTGTAGGCAGCCCGCATTGGTCGCACCATGCTGGAGGTGGAGCTCGCAGCAGCCATCCTCAGCTTGCCTTCGGAGTGCACAGCACGTGAAAGAAGCGCCTACACATGGAGGTCGGCACTGACAAGACTGCAAGAAGGCGAGCAATGCGCAGGGCCTCCTGCCATCTCTCATTCAAGCATGGGCGCCGAGCCGCAGTACCAATACGGGTAAAGTCGACACCCAAGACACGCACCATGTGCTGAAGGTGAGCACCCCACCCCTGGCGAGGGACCTCCTCGGTCTTGAGCTTCCTCAAGTTCTCCGACAGCCCAAGAGCACGGGACCAGCCCTACCCAGCGCCCAAAGCCTGCAGCAAAGGAGAAACCTCGCGACAGGTAAGAGCACGATCATCAACAAAGATGGTTTGTCGCACCTGCGGTGCTCACGAGCCACAGCCTTGTGGGAGCCACCACGCAAGCCAACATGGCCAAAGGAGCCAAGGCATCGCCCTGAGGAACACTGGAAGTTGCTCTCGCAGGCTCGGCAGAAGTCCACGGACCCCATCTGTGCCGGAAGGCCGAGGTGACGCAGATCGCATGCTTACGAAGACGAGCAGTGCAGTGAGTCGAGCCCTGAGCCGACTTGGGGCTTTGAAGAACCCCCACCCTCCGCAGCAAGCAAAGCAGCATTAGACTCCTGAACAGTGCGGCCGAGGTGTCGAGAGATAGATGTCGTGCGCGCTTAGGAAGTGACTTGAAACAGAGGCCACACTGCCACCCACCATCGGGCACATCAGGTCTGCGTTCAGCTTCATGCCACTGGTCCGAAACTCCAAACCTGGATGGTGCCGCTTCAACTGCATATACTTAGCGATAGTGACCTGCCGAGATGTGCCTCGGGCGATCCAGCCACAACGTTCGCATGGCCAAGAAACGACCTCTGCCATTGACTGAAGCGTTATCCTTGGCAGCCTGCCCTCCGTTGATGTCTGAGCCCCCACACGAAGACTTCCCGGCCTCATGCACAGACTCCAGCTTTCCATCGAGCCTTCGCTTACGTGAGCTCGGGCAGCAGGAAGCAGGCGCACCTCCTTTCGCAGCTGAAGCAGCCTCAGAGGCAGCGCAAGGCAGGTCCGCTTAGCCACACTGCGCCTGCTCTCAGACAGTGTTGACACACGGACCTCGGCATCCGCACAATCAGAGATGGCGGGCGCATAACCGCTGTTCTGCACGCGCCGTCGTCGCACGGACAAGCCAGACCCCGGGCCTTCACCCCTCAAAATCACATCCTCGGCCAGGGGTTTACCACCCAGCTCTACGTATCGATCCTGAAGGTGTTGCTCAACGAAATCCACGTAGCACTTGAAAGGCTGGGAGTTGGAGTTGTAGTGAAGAGCAAAGCAGCCTAGGGACCCTGAAGGATTCAAGAGGTGCGCAGTGTCAGCAACCTCGTCAACAATCCAGGCTCGATCGAAGGTCCGCCCCAGGGGCGAAAGCAGCAATCTCCAACGCCCCTCCCCTTTAACCATCTTAATCGACGCCCCACCCGCAGATGAGCACGCCGAGGAGGGCCTCACCTCCGCTCCAAGATGAAGGCATGGATCCTGGCAAGAAAGCCAACAGGATCCCTCCATCGTCCTCCGCTGCGAATTGGCCAGCCAAGACGCGCAGGAAGCATATGTGCAGGAGGCGACCATCCCTGACGAAAAGCATCAAAGCCTGGGCAGTGCCATGCCACGTGCAGCCACGTGCCAGCCTCACCGGACTCGCAGTAAGGGCAAGGGCCCACGGCCCCAGGCCCACCATCGATGATGTCGCACACTGCCGGGCTCAAGGCAGCGCCGCACATGACCGAGCGCACATGCATGGAACCCCTGCAGTAAAGATCTCTGGCACGAGAAACTTGATCCTCAGAGTAGCTCGCAAGTCCAGACAAGGACCTGGAGTCCCTGCGGTCTTGAACCAAGAACTCCTGAAAGACAGTGCGTCTCCAAGGCTCCCGAATCAGATGCATGTGCTGCCCCCAAACTCTGCGAGTGTCCAGAAGCGTCCAGCTCATCCTGCCCAACTCAGCATGACGCCAAGCGAAGGGTCCACACTCGACCCGCCGCCAATCACACGGAGAAGAAGGCGAACACGTCCTTGCCAGGTGCCATGCATGGGCCGAGGGCTCCAGACCGGAACCCGAGTGCGCCAAGCTAATCGGCCGGAGGCCGTCAACGTCAACAGCACTGTCGTCCCGCGGTTCCTTGCCTTTAGGGATCGAGCACATCAAGATCTCACGCCAGGCAAGAGGGAAGAAACAGGAGTCAAACCAACGCCGCAGGACCTGAGCAAAGTCTCTCCAGAAGTCCATGGGAGCATCCTGAAGCTGGCGATTTGGGGTCCTTCTTTGCTGCCTACCTATAGTCTCCATTGTAGATCTTTTTTTGGTTTAACCAATTTTATACTAAGGCTCCTATCAGGCACCCCCAAAAAGGAACTACGATGGAGACTCTAGGTAACAGCAGAGAGAAGTCATTAGCACGGACTTCAGTCCTCGTATACGGGAGGCTTTACGCTCCCGCACCGTTCTGACGAGACGCTCGGCCGGGGCCTCGGTCGGAGCCCCGAGCGCCCATGCAAACGGTCAGCGGCACTCTCGGCAGTTTAGGATTGTAAGGTCTAGGAGTTTAGGGTTCAGGGTTTGTCCAGGAAATGGAGCACATTCGACAGATGTAACGTTGACCTTCGAATACGCTTGGGGGAGACTACCTTCATTGACCATCCTCCAAACGCCAAAGAGAACCTAATAATCAGACCAAGTATCCAAGGATCCGTCTGGAAATGCAAAATCCAAGCCCTTGCGCACGGATAACTGCTGAAACCATCGACACTACACACACCCAGACGACCGTCGTTACCCTGAACTTGAAGCCGCGAAACTCTACACCCGAGCTTGGTCCTGAAGTCAATGAACGGTCCGTAGCTTCGGTACAGGGTTTAGGGTTAGGCTCGCGAGAACGCAAGCCCACCATCGAGAATCATGCGACCCTCAACCTTAGACGCTTACGATCTTGAATCTGCCCCATGAGCCTGAATCGCGTGCACCTCTAAGCCCACGGAGACCATACACTTCCAAGTCCAGTCTCGAATTTTCGGGCTCAGGGCATTTTGGGGTTTCGGGTGGATCAAGCCTTACCCGGACCCTGTGACCGACTCGTCCTGAAAGCCCCAAACTAGGCAGTAAACCCCGGGATCCTTGTCGCTGCGCGTCGTAAGATTTCGGATGTTTGTGAATCTCGCGAAACCCCGTTGACAAGACCATGCTCCTCAACCCTGAACCGGAGACCCAGAAGCCAAAACGCTCAAGACCCTGCTCCGCCCGTCTTCAAAGCCAGGTGGCCAACGCAGACAGCGAAGAGCCCGCAGTAGCGGATTGGGCCTCAGGGCGCACCACCACCGCCACGACCAGTACATGCTGCTGCTGCTGCTGCTGCTGCACGACTACTGCACCACCGCTGCACTACCTGCTCATCTCGCCGTCGCCACCGCCATCAGCAAGCTAGCCACTAACACCACCACCACGCACCACGATCAGAACGACTCACAAGCCATGGGTGCCTGCGCCTGCGCGGCGGGGGTGCCCCTCAAGGCTGGCTGTGATGCGGCCGGTGCTGCCACAAAGGCCGAGGCGGCGTTGAGCAGCGCCACTCCGCCTCCGAGCTCAGGGAGAAGGAAACCCACATGAAGAACGCGAACATCTACACGGGAGTTTGGGTTTGGGTCGGTGTCGCCGAAGTTTTCCACTGCGCTATCTGATCCGCTTGCATGCAGCAAAAGGCTTCGCTGAGTCCTTTGCCTTGGTGGTTGCACACTGAAAAGCCACTCAGTTCCCATGGCTAGGAGATGCTAGGCAAGTTGCCAGCGGCGGCTCCGGCGATGGCCATTTTCGTAGAGCGCTGCGTCATCCTTGGGCAGAGAGAAGCTGCACGCAGTTTAGGCTGGGGTGAGGGGTTGAAGACCTTGTGCTTCAGGGTTAAAGGGCGGGCTTAGGGAGAATGGATTTCCTCCTTCCAAAGGGTCGGAAAGGATTCGGTTTTTTGGCTCTAGGGCAATAGCTTAAGACTATGGTCTCTTGTGCTATGTTATCTGAATCTATCACTCTGGCCTTCTCGAGATCTTCTGCAGCTGTTCGGTACAGCTATAGTTAGACAGGTCCAGGTACGGCAAAGTATGGCTCTTCATGAACAGAATGTCTATGCGGGACACCTATAGTCTGATGGATGTATATGGATGGATGCCACAACCCCTGCCAGCTTCTAATTTTGAATTTACTTCGATCCAAAAGTTTTGAAAGCTCAGGCTTAGAGCTTCAGAGAACCTTGATGCCCTCTTTGCTGGACTGGCGAGAAACAGACTCAGGCAAAACGTCCCACCCACACCCATAAACTGCGGCGCATGGGTATCTGCACCGAACCTATTGTCGTTGTTGAAGCTTTTAATCTTTCTCGCCTCTTGAACTCAGGACTTGCTAGGACTTCGCTGGATTGTGGAGCTGTTGGACAGTTTGCTCGCAGTCGCAGGCTTTGTTAGGCTGGGCATTGGGCCGGGACCGTGATTTCCCTGCAGTTGCACACCTGGGGAGAGGGCCTTCAAAATTCGGTGTACCTTGCGTTGGGTCGACATTTGACGCTCGAGAGGATAAAGCAACTAAAACAGGAGCTTGTACGGAAAACAGGTGCTAACTGCGTCGGAGCAGCTGATTGAGCAGAGGGCAGATGTCGTCTGGTTCTTGGGCCGCTACTAATTGCTGCAGGTGATCAGTAGATATCTCGTCGCACAATGCCCGTGACACCCGTCACCATCACCAGTAGCATCAGCACCATTTACAGCATCTTCATCTTCATCATCATCACCACACCACCACCGTCATCGCTCCCCAAACTTCCGCGAAGCGCCAATGCTTGGGACTACTGAAAATTGAGCGCCTTCTGATGCTTTCTTGCCAGGAAGATGGCATGGTCCAGGTGCTCTTTGAGCCCCGTAGAGGAGTTGAGCTTCGGGCTCTGGCGCTGAGTGCTTAGGGCTTCCACTCTTCAAGTGGGTGAAGCTATTTGGGGCATTGTGGTTCCGGTAGGTTCGTGTAGCGCAGAAACCTGGGAGAATCGGCAGGACTGCCAATTGAAGGAAAAAGCGGGTGCCTCTGGCGGAGAGCGTGTCGACGTGGATAATGTTGCCACGGGAAAGCAACTTTGCTAAGCTCCACGAGCAGATCGGATGTTTCTTGCCCGGCCATTCATACTACGATAGAGTGGGCTGAACATCCGAAGATGCTCATGGTCTCCGACACCCTACAAGCTAGCACAAGGTCAACACGAAAATTTTCGGAAACTGGACTCTGCTGTCAGTTGTCCTCACCGAAACAAACTCTGCGTCGTCTTGACATAGCTTGAAGAACTAAAGACCTAGCTCGGTGACACTGGTCTGTCTTTTGACCTGTTTTAGCATCCTGAAGTTCCCTCGTTTGTCTGTTTCGGTTATTGAGATGACTTGCCTCCTGCGCAGAAGCAGTAAGCTTGGAGAACTACCTCTGTTTGTGGGAACAATTCTAAAATTCAGCGCTCTTCGGCAACTGGGTGCCTCAGCCAATCCAACCTGGACAGCGGCCAAGGACGCAGGATGACCCAGGCCATTTCGGCTTCAACATGACTGCACGCTTCTTCCGTCGACATGGGTTGCTATATAACTGTGCTCTTCGGAAGCAGAGACGGGTGAGTACTAGGCAAAAAATACCTCACTGACAGAAGATGGGATTTGGCGGCTGAGTCAGCCTTGCCAGACCGAGCTGCTTTCACGAACCACCCTGTGCATCAACCCCAGGGCTGGCGTCGGTAGTATGCACAAGGCTGTTCGTTGCAGGGACTCCGATGACCGAACCATGCGGGGTCTCCCTCAAACCCAAAACCCAATCCGAAGGGTCGCTAAAGCTGAAACCTGAACCCAACTCCAGCGACAAGCCTTCTCAAGCCTTCTTCGCCCAATCAAAGCTCGCCGCCTGGCAGATTCGATGCGACAGAAGCTCTTGAGGGCTCAAGGATATCTGTGAATATAGCATATATGCGCGCCGTGCGCTCGCACATATAGATATATATATATATACACACACATACATACACAAACATACACATGTGTGTATGCATCTATGTATGTATGTATGTATGTATGTATGCATGCATGCATCAACATACATCTATATATACATATACACATACATGTATACCATTTATTGCTTATGTATTTGCTTTGTGTTAGTGTGTCTGTATAGATACATACATGTTCATATATCTACATCTGTTTCTATAAGGATGCTTCGGAGTCTGCTCGAGTCGGTGATGGGAAACCTCAATCTGCAGGTAGACCTGCGCTTTGGAGCCCAAACCCTGCACGCTGAGCCCAAGACTGAGACCTACATCAATTCCCCATGGCCCTGCACGCTTGATAGCCAGACTCAAACTGTAGTCCTCAAACCGCAAGGCACTCGCCGGGCGGATATGCAAACTTGCGGCTATCTCTTTATATGTATATATATACACACACTCATACATATATGTATGTATGTATGTATGTATGTATGTATATATATGTATGTATGTATGTATGTATGTATATATATATATACATATGAAGGTATATGCAGATGCATCGGTGCATGCTTATGTATGTGCGTGTTTACGTGTATGCATGCATGTATGTATGTACGTGTGTGCCTGTGTCTGTGTATGCATGCTGCACACATGCAAGTACGTGTGTTTGTGTGCTTACATACATACATGAATACATACATACATACATACATACATACATGCATCCATACATACATGCATAAATACATACATACGTACATACATACGTACGTACATACATACATAGATATACATAAACACACACACATCCATGCATACATACATGCATACATACATGCATACAAACATACATACGTACACACACATATACATTTACAATACACATACACATATACATAGACATAGACATATACATACATATATGTATACACATGCATATATACAGTTACGTAATATATGTCCGTGTGTACGTATGTATGCATGTACGTACATATGTATGCATGTATGTATTTATGTATGTAGATATGCGCACACGTATACCTATGCACGCACATCTGCATACATGATCATACATACATACATACATACATACATACACATAATGTCCTGCAATATCTTTTTAATTAGCGCCACATCATGTTGTAGGGCATTACATTGTGCTACATCAAACACTATGTATACCATATACTATTTACTGTTTACTATGTACAAAACACTTTTTACTAGTTACTATATACTGAATACTACATGCCACTTACTATGTCACTATGTATTATATTATACTATACTTGATCGCATGGGTCATACTATATTTATGTGCATTTATCATTTATAGTTATATATCTATATGTATTTGTTCATATTATACCACATCATGTTATGCAATATTATCCCGAGACTCGCCACCTGCACAGACGACTCCCCCGTGTAGCCGAGCTTCTCCTTCGTTGAAGGACGTGGCAGTTCCCTTGATGAGTTACTTTCGCAAGTAACGTACTTTGGCTTAAAGGTGCTTCAAAGGCTTTCCGACAAGACTGCTTGTATGCTCCTTCCAGCCCGGGTAGATCTGGT